CAGCACCTCCCGGCGGGGACCCACAGAAGGGTCAGATGGCCAGACCAGCCCGGGAGGACAGAGCACAATCCACATCTGGATGAACACTGCCACCGCCACCCCGTCTCTGCCTCCTCTCCTGCACCCCTCCAGGGCCCAGAGACACGAGGCTTCTCCGCCTCCGACCTCTGCTCCCTGGGGCTCCTCCGGCTCCTGGCTGCATCCTGCTTCCTTCCTCTGATTCCTTATCTCTGCCCAGCTCCACCCTGCTGGGGGGCAGGGAGCCTGGAACCTCCCTTCCTAGGGACCCCTGTTACAAGAGGACGCCCCAGAGACAGAGTGGCGAGCAGAACAGGCAGATTGACAAACTGCTGAAGGGAGCAGCAGGGGACAGGAGAGGTCTGTTGCTCCCTGGGGGTCACTCCCAGGCAGGGATGGACTGCGGGGGACTGCAGACAGCTTGGCAGAGCTGGGACCTAACCCCTGTGCCTCCAGGGGGCCCACAACAGGACCCTACACAGACAGGAGCCCTACACAGGACGCGGCGGCGAAGGCCAGCCCAGGCGGTGCCCAGCCCCGAGGCCGCCCCCTCGCCGTGAGGGTCCAGCCCGCGGTCAGCCACGGCCGGACGGGCCCAGCGCCCGCGCATCTAGGCGCCTCCTGCAGGGACGCAGGAGAGGCGGGCACCGCCCGGGCCCGCCCAGTCTGCTTCGGCCCCTCCGGACCGAGAAGCGGGCGCAGCTCCGCAGGTCCGCGCTCCCGGCTGCCTCGTCCTCCTCCGGGCTCCCTTCCTCCCCTCGGCGCCACCCCGGGGCGGGGGCCTGGGACCTCCCGGCCTGGGGACCCTGTTACAGTGGGAGGCAAGGTCAATGCCAGGCAGGACACTGCCGGAAGGGTCAGCACCCTGCCCACTGGTGGAGCCGGGCTCCGCGGAGCTGGTCAGCCCGTGCCTGCTTTCAGGCCACCATCCTCTGCCTGGACGGTGGTGCCTTGGTCCCGTCCCTGGGCCTGGTGATGTGCCACAGCTGTGGCCACACTCAGGGCCAGGGTGTATCCGGGAGCTTATCACACGCCGGGGCCACAGCCCGAGGACACCTGGCCAGGCTCTGGGAGCTTCATGGGCACCAGCCCCAGACCTCTGGGCTGGCCACAGGCGCCCTCTGCCTGGCCTGGGCCACCCTACAGACTCCAGAAGGACAACAGGAGTTGCCCACAAGCCCCTTGTCTGTCTGGGGGCCCCTGAGCCCGTGATCACAGCTCCCTCTGGCCTCAGCCCGGTGCCGCCCACCGCAGGTCCCCCAGATTGCAGCTGCCACCGCCCTGTCGGCGCCTTCCAATGTGGTCAGTGCCCCGGGTCAAGTGAACAGGACGAGGAACGCAAGCCAGGCCCCGGCACCCCGCACGGAGCCGCAGTCAGGCGCGCTGCCCACACGGTCGGAGCCCGGCCCACGCCACGGCCCTGTCCTCGGAAGGGACAGGGCCCAGGGCCCGCCGCCCCCGCCGCCCCTCAGAGCCAAAGCTGCTCCTCAGGACCAGACAGCCTGGGAGGGTCTTTACTCCAGCTGGAGAGGAGGGCGAGGGACTTTAGCAAGGCCCGAGTCGGGAAGGGTGGCGGGAGCATTGCACGCCTGACTGAGGCTCCCCGAGGGAGAAGCCGCCCCCTGCGCCACTCCCACGCCGAGACCCCGTGGACACAAGCCGCGGGCAGGCGGGCAGAGTGACCCCACGTGCCGCTCCGGGCGGCTGCTCCGGCCTTTGGCCATGCGGGCGGCAGTCGGCGGCTGCGCCAGGCTCAGCTGTGGGGAGTCCTGGCTCTGCCTGCAGGTGCCGCCGCTGCCCACCGGCTTTGCCACACCAGTAAGGACCATTTCCCTCGAGCCCAAAATGAATGTCCCCCTAATTCAACATCCAGCCCCTCCGGGCCCCTCCATCTCCGTGGATGCTGGTTAGAGTGTGGACGGACAGCCAAATTCGTGTGGGATGAAGTTCTCTCTGCAGGTTGACAGGCTGTGTGGCCCCACGGCCGTGGGGGCCCCCGGGAGGGGGCTGTGTGCCCGAGGGACTGGGCTGCCCCCCACAGTGGTTCTGCCCACGGCCCAGGCGTCCTCCAGCTGACAGGAGCTATGGCCAGCCCACGACGCCACGGGGACGCCGCAGCAGCAGGGGCCGGCGGCCGAGGCTCTGCAGGCCCCTGCGTGGGCAGCACTGCACAGTGGCCACACGGGGGGGGGGCCTGCTGGAAGAGCTGCCTCGGTGAGGGACCCATGTCCCCAGGCACACAGCCCGGGACGCCTGGGGCGGCCGGGCACCCAAAATCCGACGTCGCCTCCGTCTGAATCCTGCCGCTGTGAAAATGCCTTTGATGGGGCAGAGGAACCTGCCCCGACTGACGAGGCCCTTGACCCAGGCTGTGGCCAGCAGGACCCGGCGGTGGCACCGGAAGCCTGCCCTTCAGGGCGGGAGCAGGCTGAGGGGCCGCGACCCCACCGGCGCCTTAGCACACGGGCTGTGACGGCTGCCAGGAGTCAGGCACAGGCACCTGGGAGCTCGAGGCGTCGCCGCTCGCAGGTGACGGGGTCACGCACACCCATGGCCCCGCCAAGTCAGTGGTCAGCTTCAGCAGTGCTTCACCTTGATTTCGAAAGACCATTCAGAATAAAGTGCTTTTAGGGTCCTGAGCGAGCACCCAGGGTCGGGGAGAACCTGCAGACCCGCCTCAGCACTGGGACAGGAGGGCGGTGAGGCGTCGGGCTGGACACCATGGCCCCGGCAGCAGGGAAGGCCAGCTGACCACTCAACTGCCCTTGGACATCTCCCTGTGAGAGCCAGCTGGGAGGGCTGCGGGGTTAGACTCAACACTGTCACCACCGCGGCCTGAGTCGGCCCTGGCCAGGGAGAAGCAGCAGACCCGTCTCCCCGCTGCCCCTCAGCAGCGGGTCACAGTAGATCTGCCTGTTCTGTTCCCCACTGTCTCTGGGGAGTCC